AACAGTCTAAGTTACAGTAATTTTTAGGTAATTAGGTTTGGTTATGTAATTACAGCCTTAGTTACAAAGGTTTTGAGGGTTTTAAACTTCGGGACATTATCACTCAAAAAAATATTTTGTTGGATGAACACAAAAAAAGTATGGAAAGTATTTCCACACGGACATAATATGCTAATATAGAAATAATGTTTTCATTTGTTTGACATTAATGTAAATATGCTGGTTCAACATAAGGTGTTGTTGTTTCTATTACTCAGTTAAAAGGGGTAACTCCAACATAATAATCATTTGTTGGGTTAACATATAACATTTATGGAAAGTAGTTCCACCCAATTATTACATGCTCATTTGGCAAGGGACAGTTTTGTTGAGTGAAATTTATGCAAGCATGCAAAGTAAACAAAAGCTGGCATTACAGTTAGCTAATTACAGGTAACTCCAATGTCACTTTTTAAGGTTAGTTCTACATATTTATCTATATTTGATACAAAACAACTGTAATTATGCCAATCCAACAAGACTAGCGCTTGTCAATCACTTGTTGAGAGCCCTTTCAGTCATATGAAAATCACAAGTTCAGTAAGTCAATGCTGAAATCTATATTTGTTTTAAAGACTGTACAAATTTCTCAACCTAGTTTGTGACACTTGATATCATGTTGAGAGCAGGGGGTGGATAAACACCTAACAGCAAACGGGATTCCTTCAGATTGAACTTTAATGACTGCAAATGAAGAGGAAAAAAAAGAAAAAAACATTTGACTTTACAAAACAACTAAATACAATCAAATAAAATTGCATTATTTTACATCCATAAATCAAAATAAAAAATTCTTAAAATGTTTCTGTATACTACACCTGTAGTTATAGTGTAATGCTACATTCAGATCGCAAGCGCTGAAAGCAGCAAAAAAGCTTCTGCTGCTTCATTTTTTATGCTTGTCTACATTAAGTTCAGACTTCCAGTAAAGTGTGTTTTGTATTGTGTCCAGAAGCTTCCGCTGCTCCTCCCTCTGCTTACCCCCGCAATTGTTGCACACTGGAATTGCATGCACTACACCAGAGAACTTTAAGCNGCAAAAAAGCTTCTGCTGATCATTTTTGATGCTTGTCTACATTAAGTTCAGACTTCCAGTAAAGTGTGTTTTGTATTGTGTCCAGAAGCTTCCGCTGCTCCTCCCTCTGCTTACCCCCGCAATTGTTGCACCCTGGAATTGCATGCACTACACCAGAGAACTTTAAGCTATGTGTATGAAGGGGGAAAAAATTACAGGATTTTGTCACATGAAAATCAATATTTATATAGTATATGCCCATATACTGTACTAAATTCATTTAGTGATATGTTCATCTACTGCATCATTGTGTCAACCGTGTTACCAAACGAAGCACATATATCACACTATGAAGCACTCAGTGATGAAATTAATCATTCAAAATCCTAGAGCGGACAGTAATTCAATTTAATTCAATTCAATTCGGTTTATTTATATTGCACCAATTCACAACACATGTCATCTCAAGGCACTTTACGGTTTACCAGATCATAGAGTGAAACTGATTCACAGTTTTCTGTCTAAGGACAACCAGTTGACTGAATCGACTCATCGAATTGAATGCAATCCCTCACACTAAGCATGCTTGTAGCGACAGTGGAGAGGAAAAACTCTCTTTTGACAGGAAGAAACCGCCAGCAGAACCAGGCTCAATGTGACCGGCAATCTGCAGAGGCCCAGTGGGGATTCAAGGAGACAGAAGCAGAGATACAAAAAGCAACTGTAAAGGCGGCCCCGTCCAGGAAACACACAGCCAGGCAGAGGATTTAGAGAGCACATCCAACCAGTCACAGTCAGAGAAACAGGACTACACTGGAAAAACAACATCCATAAACAAAGGTGTTGATAGCAGCAGCACAGCTGATATTTCTCTTCACGATAGTGTCACAGCCAACTGGTGAACAGACCAGAGGAAGCTACTATAAGAAAAAGCAGAGAAAGCAGAACGATGAAAAGATGTCCCTATGTCCTCCAGAAGTCTAAGCCTATAGCAGCATAGCTATAGAGATAGCTCAGGATAAGCTGAGCCTCTCTAACTATAAACTTTATCAATAGGAAAGTTTTAAGCCTACCCTTGAAAGTAGACAGGGTGTCTGCCTCATAGACTAAGACTGGTAGTTGGTTCCACAGGAGAATTCTAGGAACCACTAGTAAACCTGCAGACTGAGAGCGAAGTGCTCTGTTAGGGACATAAGGAACAATCAGATCTCTGATATAAGATGGAGCTTGGCCATTTAAGACTTTATATGTGAGAAGGAGGGATTTAAATTCTATTCTTGATTTAACAGTAAGCCAATGAGGAGAAGCAAGGATAGGAGAGATATGATCTCTCTTTTTAATTTTCCTCAGAACTCTGGCTGCAGCATTTTGGATCAGCTAAGAGTTATGCTTTTTCTCTGTCTTTTAAACTAAGAGTACATACACATACCAGGTCATCTTAGACATTCATAAAAACACTAGCTTCCCTACAGTGCTCCACAATTTCCAGTGATGATTCTGCTTGTCATTACCCGATCGTATTCTGGTGACCGAGTTGTAATTTTTGGATTACGCATGTGTGGGCAGATCCTCGCGTTGTATATAGTTGTGTGTGTTTTAATAAAGCTCTTTCTTTGCATAAACATCTTCCTGGCAAATGTTCATTTCCTGTATAAATTCATTCATGTCCTTGATGGTAGCCTAATAATAGTGTAGTAGTGTAGGATAACATGAATATACAACATATATATATATATATATATATATATATATATATATATATATATATATATATTTATATATGCCAACCAATCACGAGCGATTTTACTTGTTTAAAAATGAAGTGGTTCCATCCAATACTCAGTAAGAACATTCAAGCCAGACCTGGCCAGCCGCGCGGGTTCGCTGCATTCATATGCTAATTAGGGCCATAAGTACAGCTGATCGCTCTCCACATACGTCAGAGTCCATTTCCGACAATTTGTGGCACTGACAAATGGCCACAAGCGCGGGTTGCAAATTGTCATTAACTGCCGAAAATGAGGGAGATCTGCGGTAGTTTATGGGGATGAAAATCTCACTTTTCATGCAGTGTTATCTACTGATGGTGATCAGAGGGCCCGGTGGCACCAGTGTAGCTTGCCACCATCAGTGTGTGAGTGTGTGTGTGAATGGGTGAATGACTGAATGTGGTGTAAAGTGCTTTGATCAAGTCTCCTGACTTGAAAAAGCGCTATATAAGTACAGGCCATTTACCATTTACCATATCTGTTCGTACATGCGCAGGACGGATCGTGCTTCTAGGACAGATTGGGTAGTGACGCTGCTTAGCAGTTTGAACAACTTCTACGTCTGTCGTTGTTTCCTACATCTGTAAGTCCTGATTAGACTGTCGTATCCACTTCCCAAAAGCCAACTCTTCCTCACTTCTTCTCCTGACTATCCGCAAACAATGAAATATCATACTTATAACGAAACTTCCTGAATATTACAGGCGCCGACATCTTTATTTGCTTGATTACCTCCTTCAATCCTAGAGAACAGTAGTGTGGTAGATCTTCACCAGGAGGCGAATAACCATGCTAGCGTAATGTGTCATAAGTAACCAAGCTCGGCACAATTAACTGATCAAAGCTTAGCACGGATCGGTTTCAGAAGGTAGTCTAAATGGGGCTTTAGTTATACCTTCAGGATATTGATGTCTGTGTTCCCCACCACTAGTTAGAACTGAAGAAGCTTCTTGGATGAGAGGTGAATTGTCTTTCAGAATACTTCACGTCCACTTGCCTAGAATGATTTTTTTCACGCTTTCACGCTTTTGTCACGCTTGAACCTGTCCTGAATTTTCTAAAAATGTAGAAGTATTAAACTTTTTCCCTCAATGCAGTTGAAAACTTAGATGATTACTAAATGTATGAAGTGCTGCTTAATATCCCCCGTGTTATACCCTGCATAAGTCCAACACTCTAGTTCACATTAAATTGAAGTACATTTCTGCATATAAGCATAATGCATATTGTATATTTTTATCAAGTCTTCATCCAAATTCATCAGGAACTGATTGTGTTAAATGATGGAAACTCATTGAAATGCGATTCACTAATAACAGCATTCATAGATTCTTTTCAGTGTGTCACAAAAAAGAACAGAGAAACAAGTCCAGAAAGAATGATTTTATTATGAGCATTTTTTAGCAGGCTTCATATAAAACTTGTAAAAGAACAGTGGATAGACTGTTTGAATAAGTAAAACAGATTAAAAGCATTTCATTATATGCAGCAAAAGTTTCGCTGAAATAATTCAGCGAAACTTCCCTAAAGAAAATCAGCAACTGTTTTGATACCAAAAAGTAAGTCTATTATCAGACACTTAAATTTATTCCTCTTTCTTTTCATCACCAGGCTCCTCTGGACTGTCATTAAAAAATGAGTTGTTCTCTGGTTTAGACACTTTAACTTCTGCATAGACAGTCTCCTGGCGTTCATTGTCTTGCTGTGAGGATGTGTGAGGGGTCTTTTTGTGAAAGTTTACTTCTCCATAATGCAGTTCCTCCTTTTCATTACTGAATGACACATGGCTGTCTCTTGTTTGGCTCTGTGAAAAAAGCCACAGTTGAAACCACATGTTTAAAGCAATAAATAAAAAGACAACTTGTTTTTCCTTATACAAAATCTTTCATGTTTTCAGCAAGATTTGGGAATTTTAACTAAATACTCAAGACATGAGATCTACATTCGTAAAATATTTTTTAATTTCTGCTTTTAAGAAAAACTAGAAACTCCCACAGAGGATGATAATAATGTAATAGATTTTAAAGCTTCTGCAAAGGCCCTGGAATAAGTTAAATTAAAGCCCCTTTTGTGGATACATTTTAGGGAAACAATTCATTACATTTGACAGAACCAAGTATTAAGTACAGGGGTCACTGCATCCTACTGCGTAGGTGTTTGCTGAAGGGAAGTTTGGTGCTCCTCCCAAACTAAATGGCAAGATAAAACAAGAATTTAATGTGGAAATTTTATAACAATATCACATGACATCAGCCATGACCTTTAGCATAACGAGTCCTCTAATGCCTTGTTTCTATTGAGTGAATAATAAAAGAATGGTCTAATCTGGTTATGTATTTTAGGATTGTTTTCATTATCAGACTGGTCAATATTTTCTAAGCCAGACTGCATCCTTTATGGTCTTACGTCTGAGGTGGGTTATTGA